TAATAAAAATATCTAAATTTATACTTGATCAAGCTTTTTAAGGTCGGGTACCATTGCCATTTTTGACTGGAGTGTCACTTTCAATTTCGCTTACAGGCCCTTTAAGATAATACAAAGTATCTTAACATGAAAACTTATTTAAAGTTTGTTTACATTCAGTGATAAAGTTAAAAAGTAGAAGGTTTTTAACCACTTGTTAAATAACATAGGGAAGAAAGTACATTTCAGGTCTAATGTACTTTTCATATTTATTCTGTATTGTATATTTTTATAAATGAATAATGTATAAATAGTGTATTTGCATACTATAATGTTATGTAAATATGTTGACTAATTTATACAGAGGCCGAACTTAAAGAATTTGAGCCGCGGCTTAAATTTAAGCCGCGACTCAAATATGGTTGGTTCTTCTAAAAATCGTATTCAATGTTTTAAGATTTCAGTCAATTAAATCCGGGGTTTGGGGGATTTGAGACGCGGCTCAATTTCATTAAATTCGGACTCAGGACGACTATATAAACACAGGAAAAGAATGACGACTTTTTAATAGTCTATTTCCTAACGCGGTATACAGGTGTCAGCGATTTTGAAAATTTTATACTGAAAATTTGATTCCTTTTGCTCTTGGAAATTCCAAAATGTGATTTATCCTTTTAACCTTCAAAATTAATCGAGTTAGATGTTCAAGTTCAATGTATACAATTATGAAACGGCCACTCATCTATATCTATATATAATTAAACAAGACATTCGTATATATATATATATTTATATCTTGTGTATATCCGGCCAAAAGGCTGGACCGATTGGGCTGAAATTTTTTGTGGACACTCATGGGTGGACGGACTAAAATAAATTCGAATTTTTAAAATATTTTTTGTCAAATTTTTTTCAAAATTTTTTCACAGGCAACGCCGGTTCCTTCAGCTAATATTAAATATTAAATGAAATTAAAAATTTATGAAATGTGTACGTTCTCAACTCCAATGGTACAAAGGACACATGCCTACTTGTACATGCATTAACATTTAGATTGCGTTGGCTGTACTAACCAGACAAAAGGAGAAAGTAAAATTTTTGCTACATACATAATTACTTAATACTTTTTGACATCGTATGCTCCTTTAGTTTTAATCTATGATGCATGAATTTATTCGGCTACTAGAAATCTAAAACATTTTTCTTCTCAATTATAGCTCTCCAATCCCAGGAGCTGTCCTTGTCAAATATTTAAGATTTTAACTTAATATTTTACTTTAGTTTTAAAGTGTTGATTTTTTTCTTCAATATAAGAAATGCATAACCTTTCCCGCCCCTGTGCATTGAAAACTTTGGTACATTTGAAGGATTGAACTTCAGAGCAAGTTTAGTACGGGAACACGAGATAGTACAACAAATTAATCATTCTAGTAAAAAAAATTAATGTGTTTGACTCTGAAAGGGCCTGGATTTCTTGACCATACATTTTTTGATGACAGTTTTAATGGGGGAAAAGTTTGAAAATTTATGATTCAACTTTTTAAAGTGCACTTATGTTCAAGTTTAAAATACATCTTTTAAATCAGTGTCTTTTCTTCCGAACCCTACTCCTGGTACGGGGGGGGGGAAGGTCTTTTTTCAACTAAAAATTCAAATTTGTTTCATCTAAAATTTCCCCAGAGACAGGGATTATAAATGATAGAATATATTCCAGTTTTTTTTTAAATTTAAAGAAAATATTTTTTTGCGTTTTACTTGTATTTTCGTAAATGTAATTTTCCACCAAATGTAATATTTGATATTTGTTTTTTTAATAAAAGTTTTAAATGTTGATGTTTATATTACAGGAAGAGAAAATTCCATTTAAGAAAGTATATTTTGAAAGTTGTTGAGATAAATGAAAGATTCGAAAAAAACAATGACAAAAATGTTTATAAACGGGCAAAAATATTTGTAGTTTAGTTTAAACATTTCAAATGGTACAAAAACATTTTTAGTTTTGTTTTCAATTTTGTTTTTGTTTTACTCTATATAATATTTAATATTCTATCTGGAACATTTTCTCATTTGTTCCAAATATTGTTATTCAGCAGAAAATAAGAATGTAAATATTCCGTCTTATTCTGAACAAAGCTTCATGTCCATTATATTTAAAAAAAGCTAGTATATGATACTAAAGGGACTGTAACCTTAGTTTTAAGTGATCTTTATCTGTTCCAGAAGGAATTAAATCTCCATGTTTTAAAATATTTATTTTCAACTGTGTTTTTTCTGCAGAAAAAAAAGTACAGTGGGGGGAAATCCATATTAATAAACGTTTATTTTAAAGGTTACCGATAATTGTCGTACGTAAAACACTTTATATTCTTAAATATTCAAAATACATCGCCCAACAAAAAAGTAAAAAAAAACATGAAAAACTACCTTTAATATGGGTTAAAATGGGTTCTTAAGTTAAGACTCTTTAAATAAAATAACATCTACTATCCCATTAAACTGCATTGATAACTTTTTTGTAGTTTAAGTTAACCAACAGAAAAATAAAGAATTTTAAAAGTATCTGTTCACTAAGAAACTTTAGAAGAACATTTTTCAAGGGGGAATTTTGTTTTTCTCTGGGATAAGGGAGAAGTTGTCAAGTATGGAGATAGATAGGAATTTAAAGTAGGGGTAGGGAAGGGTTAGACCCTGAACAGCCCCTGAGTCGTTATTTTTAAATGTTTAACATATTTCCGTTCCTTTAACAAATATTCACTTAGAAGTTGAAATAGCTCGGCTCATCTACTTATAAATTCAAACTTCTCATTAGAGAAGATTAAACAATATAAAAGTTTACAAACTAATACTCTTTTCTCTGAATATCGCATTTTATAATTGACAGGGTTTGCCAAAAAAACAGGTGCAATACAAGACTTTTAGCATGAGTATAGTTTAGTTATTCAGAGGTGGTTTTCTGAACTGGTGTTTTTCGTTTTCTAAAAATGTGGTATGATGACATGGACTGCAAGGCTTGATAGATTTTTGCACATTTCTTTGAAACTAACACTGGGTTTGCAGAACTTATGCAGTTTCTTTAAAATTGCCTTATTTAAAGGTGAGATATATCCTCTTGAGCCGATTTCAAAAGGATGAACAGACACATCCCTAGTTGTTATATCTGTGATAAAATGTTCATACTTGTTCATCTTTGGAGCGTTGGCATTTTTGATATTTGTTTCCAATGGGGTATTTTCACATTTCTAAATATTATCAATATACAGACATTGTAACAACCAAAGCCACATTCAAGAATCAATTGTAAAAAAAATATCAAGAAAGTAGAAGATATCATCGTTTTTCTAGTATAAAAATCTAGTATAAAATCACTACTTTTGACAATTTTACTGATTGTTTCTAAAGCAAAAATGTGCAAGTCACTTTAAAAGAGAAACCTCAAATAAAAATGATCAGTTTTAACAGAGAACTATGGAAATATTATGTATTCTCGACGTGACATAAGCTTTAAAACTAAAATCAGACATTTAACTCTATAAAAATATTTTTTTCACCTCCCCCCCCCTTCTATTCAAACTATTGGTAACTTTAGATAAAAAAATCTGAAAAAACTTCTTCAAGTCTCTTCTTATTTAGTTAATTACTTTGCATTAGTTAGTTAAATGTACAATTAGTGAAATTAATAACTTCATAGGACCAGGCTGTAGTCTAGTATACAGATGGGACTAATTGTAAAATTCACAGGGTGTCCTTAGAAAGTGCACAAAGTCTTAAAACTTAAATATCAAAATTACTTGTAAAAAAATAGTTTTTTAATATTGGGGTGATTACTTCGTTAAACTGTCTGTTTTGTGGGACACCACACTGTACTAAAATAGGCTAAAGAATAAAGTATAAAGTATAAAGTATAAAGTATAAAGTATAAAGAATAAAGTATAAAGTATAAAGTATAAAGTATAAAGTATAAAGTATAAAGTAATAGGTATAAAGTATAACGTATAAAGTATATAAAGTATATAAAAGTATAAAGTATAAAGTATAAAGTATAAAGTATAAAGTATAAAGTATAAAGTATAAAGTATAAAGTATAAAGTATAAAGTATAAAGTATGAAGTAAAAAGAAATAACACCTTGAGAGCTTTTTCATCCACTGTCCAACAAGGAAAAGTTAAATAACGGCATTTTAAAAAAATTCAATTTCTTTTTCTTCGATTTCTTTTATGTATAAAAATTGTATTTTTTGAGAGTTTGATTGTGCAAATTGTTTGATATAACATCAGGTGTGACGAAATTTTTACAATTATCTCAGATCCCTGAATCTTAAAAAACAAAAACAAAAGTTATACTCCGCCTAATAAATAAAAAAAAGTATTTGAGTCACACATTTCAAAAAATTATTTTAGAATATTTTAATTTTATTTTTATCTTCTTTTCTTTTTCAGAAAAAAATGTTTTGTTTTCCATAGGCCAAAATCTGGTCGAAAGCAGAGAACTCTAACTTGAAATGAAAATAATTGACAAGGAAAAATGTTTGCTTTCAAAATATATAAAAAATTTATCAAATTTTTAATTTTTAAATTTAATTTAATTTTATAGATTTAACAATAATAAAAATATTAGTTCTCTAAAGAAATTGAGACTTTGCCACAAACTCAAAAGAGTCGATTCTTTGCCACAAACTCTGATTCTCTAATCCTTATCTTTAAAAGTCAATGTCGTAAACCTTTGATATTTCAAACTTATATTATTTGATCTAACAGAAGTCATGGTTTGAAATGTAAAAGGTCTACGAAATTGGAATTCAAAGATATAGGGATTAGAAAATCAGAGTTTGTTGCAAAGACTCAATTCCTTTTCTAATCCTTACATTTTTGCTACCTGATCGACGATCGTGTAAACAAAGGTTTATATTTCAAACTTTGATTATTTTGAAATATCTTTAAGGTTTATGACATTGGTTTTCAAAGATGAAGAAAATCAGAGACAAAGTAACAATCAATTCCATCCTGTTTTCTCAAATTCTCAAATATTTGATGTTACATACAATGGCCAGTATGATATTAATTTATAAGCAAGCATCATAGATATGTTTTCTTCCGTTCTTCATACTTCTACACACAGCAGGTAGATATTTATAATAATATATATATAACTATA